CGTCGGCCTCGAGGACCGCGGCCGCGACCCGCCGCGCGCGCTCGCTAGGCGAGCTGAGTCTCCTCGCGGACGCGCGAACTTGTGCTTCATCCAGCTTGTTGACGAGGGCCATTTCGTCGGCGTCGATGGCGGCGGCAGCGGCGCCGCCGTCGCGCTGCTGCCCGTTGTGGAGGCCCAGCCGATCTGAATACCCGGCCGCTGCCCTCTCTTGCAGTTTGGGGTTCGCGGCAAATCGAGATATGAAATCTTGCATGAACTCACGCGGCCTCAGTATGCCGCCCGCAATTGCGCGCGGCGGCGACTGTAGGCCGGGTGCGGCTGCCGTCGGTTGCGTGTGCGCCTCCGGCTTGGGGGCGGCCTCGGGATTTGTCCCCAGCGGCTGCTTCAGCTGGTCCGCTTTTGCGGGCCGCCCCTGCTTGCCAGCAGGCCTGCCCCAGCCGCTGCCCCACTCGCGGCTGGCCCGCGCAGGCGCAGCGGCACGCATTGATTGCCTCGGCCGTCTGTTTTGGGCGTAGTGCGGCGCAGCCCACGCGGCGCGCCATTGCGCGCTCGCATGCACAGCGATCATGAGTGTACTTTGACGGAAGCGATGATGGTATGCATCAACTCGACAGTCCAGCCCTGGCAAACGTAGCGTCCCGGCGGAGGAACGGAGATCACTTGCCACTGGTGGACCGCACCTATCACATTCACAAAATCAAAATGAATGTCGCTTTGTTCATCTGACTGGTCTCACACGCACCCTGAACATCCCACCGTGCGCCCGACCCTGCAGAGTCCCTCGGACAGCACACACTCATACACACCAGAGGGAACGCACCCAACGAGCGAGCCAAGGAGGTGAGATGCACTAACACCATGAGAAGTCCCCTAGGCCTGCAAACTACCACCGTTCGTTCAACAGCACCCATAAATGGCGGTTGACGCCAAAGGCTAGCAGGTTCGTTTTGGATTGACCGTCCTCGCGCCGGTTTGACTGCTGGCTGGCCGCCACACTGAGTGGCTTGGGCACCCTGAGCAGTACCCCGAGCCGCAGCCGGGGCGCGCGCGGCGCGCGCATGACTGATTGAATGTGGGACGTGCTTGCACGGCCGCACGCTTTCTGAGGATGCCTGAGGGCCGCGCAGCCGTCCGCCCTGCCGCACAAAGTTGCGCGTTGCCGGGCGGGAAGGGGCGGCGCGGTCGCATGATGGGTAAGTTGCAAACTAGCTGCATGCATGGCCGGCGAATGAACAGCAATTGTTTTCAACGCACTGGGGGTGGTTGTCATGTATGGATGTGTTGAGCTATGCCCTGCTGCAACGTCTTTTGCGCAGCAGCCGCTTTGACTGGGGCGCGCATGATTAAGTTGGCTTTACACGGCAGACAGGGGGACAATCTATGCATTGTCGCGCGTCAAATTCAAAAGCTGTCTCCCTCGAGACGCCGGGCCGTTTCGCGGAGGGTCTGTGCCTTAAGGCCAAGGCCTTGGCAAGGCGTGGCGCGATCGGCCGTCTCATCATCATGCATGCATATATATATGCCACCAACTCTTTCACGCCGTGCAGGCATCGGCGAAACGCTTGTGCTGATTGCCGGCGCACGCACCGCCTGCAAAGGCGCGTGATGCTATCCCTGCCCAGCTCGCGGCGGCCGGTGACCTAGGTGACAGTGTCAATTGGCACGCCGTGGCTGCGGATGCCCAGCAATGCAGCAAGGTCTCGCAGCGCGACCTGAGAGGCTCGAAGATGTCAAGTCCTGCTACCAACGCAAAGACGGTCAAAAGCTGGATGGGGGCGTTGGGGCGTGCAGCCGTGCAACCACCCACAGCACGCACCCGTGGTGCTGTCGGGATTTGCAGCTGTGTGGTGCAGTTTCATGCGCGGCAAACGGCCGAAACGCGGCGTGCAAATGCGGTTCTGTTTGTACATTGGGCACGCAGGTTGGCGGCGCCGTCATCCCCAGCGGCCCACTGGACCGCAGTACACCCATGGCAAGGCGGTTGTGCTGTGGTCTACGTGCGGAAGGGGCCGCCCAGCGCTGCAAGGGCCCACGCAACCGCGCAAGCGATCTACTTGACCCTTAGCGAGCCTAGTTTGCTCAATATCAAAGCGCGCAAAGCCTCGACAAGGCACCTGCGCACCTCATACATCACATCGAGCCCACTCGGACCCGCTTCGCTGCTGCTCAACAGGCTGCCTAGCCGTCGCCAGAAATCATCGACGTCCGCCTGGGCCAGCGGCCGCCCCAGCCACGGCGCAAACGTCTCTGGGCTGTCGCCGCCGGGCCGCAGGCTCAGGACCCATTCACTCGCGCCGCCGCCGCCTTCGCCGCCAGAGGCCGCGCCGCCGCCGGCCTCGTCAGCCGCGGGGCGCAGCTGCAGCCCGTTGGCCCTCATCATGGCCGCCTCCTCGGGGGTCGCCCAAACGCACGCCTCGGGCCGATCCAGCACCTCCGCTGTGCCCTCAGGCGCCGCGGGGCTGAGGCCGGACATCAGGACCCCTAAAACATGGTTGGCGGCCGCTCCTGCATCCCAGCGCTGCCAGGCCACCGTGGCTGTGACGTGCCCAATCGCCTCGGTGTGGTGCACAGGATGCGCCTGCACGCAAACGCGGACGCGCGCACGTGTGGGGGTTCGCTGGTCTGACCATCGAGTCGAAAAAGCAGGGGGAGCGAAGGAGGCGCACACACAGGTGGCCCAAGCGACGCCGGGGCCTGGACCGGGAAGCGCGGGGCAGGGTCGCGCGGGCAAGACAGTCAAGGGATCCTGGAAGCGGCTGCGTCCCAGGGCAGTGGCCGGGGCGGGCAGTGGGCGGGCCGTGAGCATGGGTTGCACAAGCAAGCATCTGTTCAGCCACCTACATTGAGGAGGTTGGGGGGCCGGTTCCAGTGATACTCATGCTGCAGCTGCACCGGACCCTCAGGCGCCAGCCCCGCGCCCTGCTGCTGCAGCAGCAGCGCCGCCTCCGCCATCAGCATCGACGCGGGCAGGCAGCTGCCAGGGACGCCGAGGAGAACCAAGTGAGTGACGACCAGGCGCAGGGCGTCCGCGCCCATCGGCGGCAGCGGCGCCGCAAGCGCGTCGGCTGCGAGGATCGCGGCCGAGATGCGCCGCTGGCGCTCGCTCGGCGAGTTGAGGCCTTTTGCAAGCACGCGCATCTCGGCTCCGGCCAGCGTGCTCAAGAGGTCCTTGCTGGCGGCCGCGGCGGCGCCGGCGGCCTCGCGTTGCTGCTCGTTGTTGGCCTGCATGAAATCCGAGTACACAGCCGATGCCCTCTCACGTGCTTTGGGGTCGTCGGCAAAGCGCGCGATGCAAGCGCGCATCAGGTCGCGCGGCTGCAGTCGTGCGTACGCGCTTGCGCGCGGCCGCGGCGGCGGCGGGCTGCGTGCGGCTGTCGCTGGCTGCCCATGACCGTCTGGCTTGGGTGCGGCCTCAGGTTTTGCCCCCAACAGCTGCCTCAGCTGGCCCGCCTTTGCTGGCTGTCCCTGCTGGCCAGCAGGCCCGCCCCAGCCGCTGCCCCACTCGCGGCTGGCCCGCGCAGGCGCGGCGGCACCCATCAACTGCCTCGGCCGTCTGTTTTGGGCGCGGTGCGGCGCAGCCCACGCTGCGCGACTGTTCGCGCTCGCATGCATAGCGATCATGAGTGTGCTTTGCTGCAAGATATGATGCTGTGCAACCAATCGACAGTCGAATGCCTGGCGAACGTAGCGTTCCGGCGGAGGAACGGAGATCACTTGCCAGTGGATGGCACCTATCACGTTCTTTAAATAAAGAATAATGTCGCTCTATTATTCTGACTGGTCTCACGCTCACCCTGAACATCCCACTGTGCGCCGAACCCTGCGGAGTCCCTCGGACAGCACACACTCATATCCGACACACCAGAGGGAAAGCACCCACCGAGCAAGCCAAGGAGGCCAGATACACTAACACCATAGAAGGCCCCTAGGTCTGCAAGCTACCACGGTGCGTTCAACAGCACCCAAAACTGTCGATTGACCCCAAAGGCTGGCAGGTGTGATATGTGTTGACCGGCCTTGCGCCGTTTGACCGACTGCTGGTTGGCCGCCCCACTTAATGGCTTGTGGTGTCGTGCACTTTTGGGCACCCTGTGCAGTACCCCAAGCCGCAGCCGGGGCGCGCGCGGCGCGCGCACCACTGAGTTGAATGTGGGACGTGCTTGCTGAGCGGCAAACTTTCCAGGGATGCCGGAGGGCGGCGCGGCCGTTTGCCCTGCCGCAGCGCGCTGTGCGTGGCGTCACGAAAATCAACGGGTCGGTGGCAGACTGTGCGTTTTCGAAGATCGTTTGCATGCAAAGCCGCCCGCCGGTTGAAAAGCTGCTGTTGATATGCACGACCGGGGGGGTTTTGTGTTTGGAATCTGTGAGCTGTGTCCTTCCGCAGCGTCGCTGACGCAGCAGCGGCTAGCCGCTCCGCGTGCATGTGGGGCGCACATGAACACGTTCTTTATTTTACATGGCGGGCAGGGCGCTGATCAACGCATCATGGCGCAGCTGGTCCAAAACCCCTCCCTCTAATGCTCGAGCCGTTTTGTGGAGGGTCGGCGCCTTGGCAAGGCGTGGGACAAATGCCTGCCTCATCATCATGTACACATAAGACACCAAACTTTCACGCCATGCAATCATTGGAAAAACGCTTGTAATATATGCCTGCATGCGCACCCCCTACACATGCGCGCGCTGCCGCCCCCAGCTCGCGCCGGCCGTGTGTCTAGGTGGCGGGGTCAATTGCTGTCGCGGCTAGCCAGCAATACAGCCAGCTCTCGCAGTGCAACCCAAGAGGCGCCCTGATGTCAAATCCTGCTTCCAACACAAATTTGCGTGTTTAGACACGGCCAAAAGCTAGTCGATGGGGGCGGCGCTGGGGCACGCGGCCGCCCAACCACATATGCAGCGTGAACCCTGGATACTCTAGGGGCTCACAGCTCTGGGGTTCTGTTCCGTACGCGACAAACGGACGGCACGAGGCGCGCAAATGCGGTCCTGTACAATTATTAAAGACGCAGGAGGGTGCCGCCACCGTCGCCAGCCGTCAAGCCCACCCACGGCGGGGCGGCCACGGGTGGTCGCGCGGCAGGGGTCGCGCCTCGCTGCAGAGCCTGAGCTACCTGATCCTCAGGGTGTAGGTCTCTTTTAGTATCAAATCGTGCACGCCGTGGACAAGGCGCCGGCGCAGCTCAAACATTGCATCGAGTCCACTCGGGCTCACAGCGCTGCCGAAGAGGCTGCCTGCCTGCAGCCAGAAATCCTCGACGTCCTCCTGGGCCAGCGGCCGCCCCAGCCACGGCGCAAACACCGCCGCGCTGATGCCGCCGGGCCGCAGGCTCAGGACCCACTCACTCGCGCCGCTGCCGCCACCGTCGCCGCCGCTGCCGCTGCCG